GAAATGGGCCGAGTATGCTATTTACCAACGTGCGCAAAAATAATAATGGTGGATAAACAAATTCCAGTTGAAATGAAATCTTTAGGATAAATCAATGCAATTTAGGAGGAATCAATGAAAGGACATCAATTCAAATCCTGGATTTTCGAATTGAGAAATATCGAGAATTCTCACTATTTCTTAGATTCATGGACCCAATTCAATTCAGTGGGGTATTTCATTCACATTTTTTTCCACCAAGAACATTTTCTAAAAATCCTAGACCCCCAAATTTTGAGTATCCTACTTTCACGCAATTCAGAGGGTTCAACAAGCAATCGATATTTCACGATCGAGGGTGTAATACTCTTTGTACTACATCACATAAACATTAAAACTATCATCTTAAGATTGTTTTTCCTGGTATATAAAACGCGTAGTGAATTTAGTAAAATGGTCGAACAAATTAGTTAGTGAAAATACGAAAAGATTAGCCGAGGTGAGAAAACTATTTCCTTAAGAGTTAAGACGATATTTCCCCGCTACGGTGCTTGCGGTTATTTGACAATTGTCTCTCAAGATACAACTGCTAAAATCGGAATATGAGCACTCAAAATCCTGAGTACAACGAACGTTACTTTGTGTCTCAAACTCTCGAATCGAATACGTAAGAAAATATTCTACGAAGAATATTTCCGGGCTAAAGAAAGAAGAATTCCATAAAACAAAATTATGGAATTGAATTGATTTTCGATGTTATGAAATCAAACATGTGGAGTTTTTTATTTATAAGTTTCCAATGGTTGCGATTAATAGATACAACAAAAAAGGAAACTAAACAAATGAAAAGATGTGGCCACAACTCTTCATATTGTCACACCTTATTGATCAAATAGTGCCAACAAAACTTTTTTTTTTTTCCATTCAAAAAATATTTTTATTTTAAGAATAAAATTTCCAACATTTACAAGCTAAAATCCCTTGATTACAATCTCTCGTGACTTTTTCTAATAAGGATAGATCCACTTTTAAATTCCAAATATATTGTAATTTACGAGGAAGCCAATAAATACCTGGTTATGTTGGTGTCGTTTCAACACAGATGAATCATTCTTTTGAGCAACAATAATGTCGACGATGTTCATTTTCAATATCAAATGCATCATCAACACCATCATATGCACGTCTTCATCGCTCGTCACCTATATATACAGTCTTTCATGCGGGGCTAGATATTGAAGAATCAAAGGATTGAGATTTATAGCTCCACTTTTTTCTTCTATAGTTGAAAGAAGTTCTTTTAGAGTCTTATTATTCTTGGTTGTAATGACAAAGACATGATGATTTTGACGGCGACAAAATCCTAGCACTCCAATGCGGGGTTGTTTACTTTCACCAGCTACGTCCATTTTTTTAGAATTAGTATCAATGTACATGGGCGAAGCTACAGTGGCCCAAAAAGGAAGGGGGGAGGCGGGG